CTCACTTCCTCACAAATAGAAAGAATATTTTTGGTCCATGATGACATAAAAATATTATTTTATGTATTAGTATTTCTCATTCCTCTCCTCTTAATAAGCCTAGCATATCTCTCTTTTTAATCGGGAAATATCCGTAGGAATAAAAAAGATCGATGTATATATCAAAGATTTGAAAATCACTCTACAACCCAAAGAGTTTCTTGAAGCCCCCTATAGGGCGTGTGAAACAGGGGATCCTCTTTCTCCTATTCTTTATGTCATTGTTAGTCAGAGCCTTCCCCAACATTTAACTAGGAGTGTTGGTTTTAGTTCTCATACGAGTGTCCATTTGGCTACCCATTTGTTCTATGATGATGATCCCATTGTGTTCTCAAATGCTAATAAGGAAGTCTTCCTTAATCTGCTTCATAAGAGCATTATGACAATGAGGATTTTTCAACCTAAGGGACAATGTAGAGCGAATTTACCGGATTATTCTTGATCATCCTCAAATATAGATGAATCACACAAGTCACTCACTTCTGATCCGCGACCGTGACCTAATTTCTTAGGCGACTGTGCCAAGCTTAGTTGAAATTGAAAAATGACGAGTATAAAACCATTGTTGCTTCCAAAAATTGACCCAAGGAAGTTCGCTTCAGTGATGAAATGACTTTGATATAGAGAGGGGGTAAGAGTATATTTTTGATAGTATAGCAATGTGATTGATAATGCATCAAACCTCAAGAGAGGTCAATGATAAATTCCCTAATATTGTCAACGTTATTATGGAGTTTTTCATCAAGATGTATAATACTCTGTATTTAGCAAACACTACCGCACCGGAAAAGCTCCTGCCGGTGTGATTTTCCACAATAAATAGCCATAAAAGTCCATAACAAAGTCCATAAAAGTACGAGCCAATTTGAAGTAAGGTGAGCCTAAGCCTAGCTAAGTCAAAAGTCTTCTCCAGTGAAGCATAGCTAAGAACCGTGATTCCTCTCCCTCAAAGCCATTAGAAGAGCTCTCCCTCGAAGACATAAAAGAGCTCTTATTCCAAGTTTGATCCGTCGGAAATTTCATACTCCTTCCGTCCCAGAAAATTCTTCTCACTTTCACTTAGCACGGAGATTAAGAAAAAGGATTAAAGTGGAATTGTGTGGTTGTAGTTGTATAAGAAAAATGTGAAATGAATGGGAACCACACAAATTATCCAAAAATGATAAGTGGGAAGAATTTTTTGGAACAGCCCAAGGAGGAAAGTGGGAAAAAATTTATGGGACGGAGGGAGTAATATAATTTCAAAGGAGTAATATTACAAAACTAATAATGAACACAAAGAAATGGTTAATTATCAAAATAGGACTAAAAGTCACCCACTTTGCACAAATAGGACCAAAAACTAAACTATGTTTTCATAGGACTAATATATGTGTGTCTTGGACAAATATACCCTTCTAGCCAGAGGCGGACCCACTAAGGGTCCCACGGGGTCCCGGGACCCCGTGCACCTCGAAAAAAATACCTATATATATTATATATATATTATATAAAATTAATTATTCAATGTATATTTACACCAAAAACGACCTTAGAACCAAAAGAATGGAGCAGTGCAGTTGTGACGGGTGCTTATTCCAAATATGAGGTCGCCGGGTTCAAAACCCGGCCTCTTCCTTTTATTCCTTTTTTCAGTGCTGGGCTTAAACAATGTATACGAATTTCCAATAAAAACTTAAACTTGGTTCATTTAGCTCATTGGTTGAGTATGTCCTTTGTCCGGATGATGACTAAGGCTCGAATCCCAGCTCCATCTTTCTTAATTTTTGCTACTATTCTCCAATTTACTCTTTATTTTCTTTGAAGGAGATTTCACTTTTGTTATCTTCCAATTTGAACTTTTATTTTCTTCATTTCTTCACGCTAAATGCATCCAAATAACATCAAATGTACCAGAAAATACAAAATACACACATAGGACTGCACTAATACAAATTAACGACAAATAATAAAATTATGCACAAAAGTACAACTTTAATAACTAAAATTATCAACAAACTAGGCCTAAAAAGTGTGTAAAATATAAGCACATCAGTCGCCAATTTTTTTTTTTCTGCTGCTTTAATTCTTTGCATATCTTTTTTTAATGTTCGATTAAATTAATAAATTCATGTATTTATAAATGTTATTTTCATTTTTAGACGATTTAGGATGAAAAACTATTTTGATGTTGTACCCAAATTTAAAGAAACCTAGAGTACCGGGAGTAGTTCAGGTGTTAATTCAAATGATTTGCCATTAGTAAATGAAAAATTGGATCAATTTTTTTATTAGTTTTATACTTTTATTAATTAGAGATTAGAGATATAAAAGGGTAGGGACCCCGTGGCTTCGACTTTCTGGGTCCGCCACTGCTTCTAGCTACTGAAATATTTTAATTCATAACAAAATAATAAAAAATAATAAAAAAATCGTAAAAAATACTAATAAACTAATAAAAATATTTAGATAATAATAATTAATTAATTAATTTTTTTTTCAAATAATAAAAAAAAAATAAAAAATTTTAAAAAAAATAAAAAACTCAAAAAAATAAAATAAAATTCACCTCCGCCTCTGCCGCCTCTGCCGCCTCTGCACCACCACCTCCAGTCACAGGGGAAAAAATGCCAAGTTCATTACGAATGCCATATTTATGGTAGAAAACAATGAAAATGTTGGCATTCTCAAAGAGAAATATGCCATGTTTTTGGCATTTTCAGGAAAAAAATGGCAGTTTTTAGGAAAAATGGCAGTTTTTAGGAAAAATGGCATTTTTTCACCGCCCGGAGATGGTGGTGCAGGGAGGTAGTACAGGCGGTGGGAAAGGCATCCATATTTTTTTTTAATTTTTTTATGGAGTTTTACTATTTTTTATTAATTTTTTAAAAAAATAAAAAAATTTAAAAAAATTAGTTTTTTAATATTTTTTTATAAATAATTTATAATTTTTTTAATTATTTGTCAACGATTTTTTAATTTTTCTTCGAATTTATTATGAATTAAACATTTAATTAACTCATATTTAAAGGAAGGGTATAAATAGAAGGAAAAAATAGGTATGTTTGCAATAGGAGTAATTTGGTCCTATTTTGAAAAAAAAAACATAATAAGTCCTATTTTAAGTTTTTGTCATAGTTTTAGTCCTATTTGGAGTAATTTCTAACAAAGAAATTATGGGTCAAATCTAAACTGGTCGATCTCATAAAAATAACTAAATAAAAGATCAATATGTTTTTGGATACATAATAAAAGACCAACGTTAATAGTGAGATAGTGGCATATCACCTAAATTGTCTTAGCGGACTTGTATGTATAACATTTCGTTGATTACAATGTTTACAATAACTCAATGCATGGCATGATCTTTTAGATTTTTGTACAGTAAATCATCTATATTAATATAATAAAAATCGTGAATTTTACATCAAACCCTAACTCAAATCTCACCTCTCACAAGACTCATAATAATTAAAAGGTCTCTTCTATCGCCCATTAGTCATATATACAAAAGTTTGCCCAAAATTGAGTAAAACTTTTCGCTGAAGAATTTTGCAACATTTATTGGCATTAGAAGCTACAATACATCCAAAAGTAATAAAAAAAAACATGACAAGAGTTGCACAAACACACACAATCCAAAAAGGAGAAAAAATGTTTAATGGAATAAATTAAAAAATCGGTGTGAAATTAGAGCAAAAAATCACAGGTAACCAAACTTCAACTTGAACTGTCATCTTCCAAACCTAAGCAACATGTTCACTTCATGGTGGTGGTTCATGAGGGGGACGGTCAATAAGTACCGCCAAATTAAGAATCGCCTCCTCGCCGATCATCGCAGCCCCCTGCATTCTCGATGTTCGACGACCTTCGGCTAATGGACTCCAAAACTCTGCATTGCTTTCTCCAAAGCCTTGTCTCTCTTTCTTCCCTACTCATCTATGACGGAAATCCCCTACGTAATTGGCCAAAAACCTCCAACAAAGGTTAGCGGTTTCCAAACTAAACCCTTCACTCGAGCGAAGCTCGAGGAGACTCTTCCAGGACACTTCTGGCTTGATCATTTAGATAACTACATGTAAAATTAATTTAAACGATTATACTCTGTACTATTTATATGAGTGTTTTCTTAGAAAACGGGAATTATCAACCAGCAGAGCAAAAATACGGGAGTTTGGTTAGGGTTTCTATGATTGAGGGATTCGGAAAGAGGGTTTCCGAATGAGATGATTGGGTGGGTTGGGAGGGCGTGGGTTGGCTGGGAGGGGAGGGGGTTGGCAAACATGTGTAAATCCCATTTATTTATTATTTAATATAACTTCTTTATTTGTACTCCAAATTTTACAAAAAATATATTGAAATTCTTAATTTTTATGATCTTTCTGATGACACCAACATCTCATATATAAAATTTATTTTATATTTTTGAGGTTTCAAATGTAGAAAGTTTTCAAATCCAAATTTTTTCCTAAATAGATTCAAGTGCTATAATTAGGATCACATTATTAACATCACTTTTTTTGCATGTTTCAATTATTTTAAAAATGATATTTTATTTTAGCACTTGGATCTATTTAAGATAATTGTTGAAACTAAAAACTACATACGGTTGAAACTTCAATTTTGTTTTTAACTTTTTTATATGAGATATTGCTGTCATATGAAAGATAATAAAAAAATTATGAATTTTGATATATATTTTATAAAAAATGGAGAACAAAAATAAAAGTTACATTACTTAATAAAAAATGGGGTTTTATATTTTAGTATTTTACCCAGCCCCCCACCCACTCCACTACCCAAGCGCCCCAGCCTTGGTTTTTTCGGATTTGGAAAATGGAATTCCAATCCGATTCCCTTGTTTTTGTCCAATTTTTTGAAGTCCGGTGTTTTGGCATGTGTTGCAAAAAAATCCCGCGTTTTGAGAATTTCCTCTATTTATATCACTGGAAAATGATTGAAATAACAGTTCATAGCATGTACAGATTATATTGCTGGTTGGCACCAAGTTGCAAGTGATCATCGCAAAGATGGGGCTAAGGATTCAGGATAAAAATGAAATTGTAAAGGGAGTTCCAGTGGTTGAGCCTGGTGATGATCTTTTCTGGTTCAACCGTCCGCGACTCATTTTGTTTCTCGTTAGCTTTGTTCTATTTCAAGTATGTGTGCACATATTTTACGAATCCCACATAGGAGTAAATCAACTCAAAATATGCGTATATATTTTTTACATCTCAATGTAGGAGTTACTCCTATTTTCAAAAATAAAAACATATGCTCCTATTCTTAAAATTTAACTATTATTTACTCCTATTTAGGGACTTACCCCTACATATTGATGAATTTTAATTATCAAATTACATTCTAATAATTACATTCTAATTAATTTAACATATATTTAATGCAGAATGCATTTGAATTGGCCTTCTTCGCTTGGACTTGGGTAAGCTAATGGCAACTACTCCATGTATTTTAGCACCTCAAATAAATTGAAAAAGTATTAATTTTAATTAAAGGAGACAACTAATGACTAGTTTAATTTTTATGATGATAAAATATTAAACTCATATTTCTTCTTTGTTTTGTTTGGGATTGAGTTTCTAGTATACATTTGGATTGAAGTCGTGTTTCCATGAGCATTTGGAGGATATCATTATCAGATTCACAATGGGGTAAGTTAAGTCTATTTGTTAAACGAGAAGTTGAGGATAATGCATTCATTTTATTGTTAATATGTGTGGTCTTTTAGCATTATTACACAGGTTCTGTGCAGCTATGTTATCCTTCCTCTCTATGCCCTTGTAACACAGGTAACTAATCATATATTCCAAGGAAAAAAATTATTTTGAAAGAAATAATATTAATTTTAGTACAAAATTAGGATATTTTTACTTGAACGGTTTTTAGTCTCATACTAGATTAAAACATGCCGAAATATATCTAGTCAGACTTAAATAGACCAAATCAAGGTAGACTTTATAAACAGGTTAGACCAGACTACACTTTGACAATACTTATAAAATACACTAGAAATCTACCCGACTGGACCAAACCAGACGTTCATACCAAACTACTCTTAAACAGATCAGACCAGAAAATTTCAGTCCAATTAAGACACAACTTGTCCTGTTTTACCCAAGCAGCTAATCACCCAAACTAGGATCTTAACCATTTAATCAAACTATCATAAAGGTTAAGACGACATTCCTATTTTATGGTCTTGTTGTCTAGTAGTATGAATGTCTCAATCAAATGAAGAATGAAGTTGTGAATTTGTCGGTGTATCATTCACGTTCTATTTAAATGCTACTTGTGTTCCTTTTTTATTAGTTCCAACACTTCACAGAGGTAGTGATATATTAGTTGTCAAATAATTGATGATTGAAGAATTCGTAAAACGATACTTTTATATTGTAGATCAAGTGTAACGATGTTTATATGAGAATTTTGTACAATTTATTTTATTAATACCCCAAAATATATAGAATTATTTTTAAAAGTCTATATGAACATTATATATATATATATATATATATATATATATATATATATATATATATATATATATATATATATATATATCACTTTAATCTAGTTTCATTTCTTAACATTGAGAAATGAGAATGAGTATGTATGCAACATTTATATAATTGAATATTGACAAAATGCAGATGGGTTCAAATATGAAACCAACCATTTTCAATGAGAACGTCGCAAGGGCATTGAAAGGCTGGCATCACATGGCAAAGAAACGAATAAAAGACCATAACAAAATTGAGAGCGCTTCCGTGACACCTACTTCAAGCCGTCCGGGAACACCTTCCCGGCACGGCATGTCTCCGGTGCACCTCCTCCGCGGCCACGGCTTCTACCGAAGCGAGATGGACGTGGCGAGTAGTACTCAATCAATTGGACACGATAAACCCGAGTTCGACGACTTAATTGAGCATTGGGGACGCAGTGATGATAATGGTGGTGGCACACAATCCCCCCCACATTTCTTTGCAAGCCATGTTGATGGAAGACAATCACGATATGGACCATCTTCTTCGGACAATATGATTCAACAAGATCATGCTAATGATGATGAAAATGTTAATGATGATCCCACCAACATGTTGGAGCTGGTTCGTATCCCTTTGCAGCAACATGAAATCATCAATATTGATGAACAAACAGATTTTTCTTTTGTTAAGAGATTGAACTAAAATGATGGATGGAAATTATCTACAATTTATTATAAAGAATATTATCTCACTTGTACGTGATCACGCTATTTCCTCGCACAAAAACAATATTGGAGCATACAAATTTTGTGTAAATTTTTATGTTTAGGTCATTTAATTTTATATGCCTTATGGTTTTATGTTAAAGTACATGTTTGGTAACTTCTACTTATGTACCTTATATGGGGCCCTATCACTCATTTTTTACTAAGCCTGTAACTTTTTGTTTCACATGTTAAATTGTGTAATAATCAGAATAAATAAGTTTATAGTTACTTTTGTGGGTGAAATGGAGTTTTTCCCGAAACAATGTTAATTAAATAAATTATTCCCGAAATACTGTCGGATTAAGAATAATTCCAAAAATACTGCTGGAATTAACCATGGTTGAAAGCCGCCACTTCAAGTGGCGGATCTTGTATTACTTCACAAAAGCCGCCACTTGGAGTGGCGGCTCTTCTCTTAGAGTACAAAAGCCGCCACTTAAAGTGGCGGCTCTTTTGTTACGACCAATTTTGTACATATATAAAACACAGTATGTTTCAAGAATTTGTTTAACAGCCTTCCCGGTTGAATTTTGAACTGAAATTTGGTATGCATAAACTAGACTTGATGAGGAACATGCTCAAAAACTTTCATCAACAAATGCCACCGGAAACACTCTCTGATGGTGTTGTCCGCGGGGGGTTCCGGTCAGGACGTCATGATAAAAGGGTGGTCCGGCCACCTCAATTTGAGGTGGTTCCCGGTTGTATGTTTTGATGGAATTTTTTGTGTATGTTCTAATTAAAGTCTAGTTCAATCATATCAAATTTGAGGAAAACATTCAATCCGAAATGCCGTCAAATGATTTTTGAAAGATAACTACGCCGGATTATACATATAAAACGTATTTATCTTTAAAAAATCATTTGACTGCTTTCCCGATTGAAATTGGTTCTGAAATTTGATATGGATTGACTAGACTTGATGAATAACATACACAAAAAATTCAGCAAAACATCCCATCGAGAATCACCTCAAATTGAGGTGGCCGGACCATCCTTTTGTCGTGACGTCCTGACCAGAACCCCCCGCGGACAACACCATAAGAGGGTGTTTCCGGTGGAATTTTGTGATGAAATTTTTTGAGCATGTTCCTCATCAAGTCTAGTTTATGCATACCTAATTTCAGCTCAAAACTCAATCATGAAGGCAGTTAAACAAATTCTTGAAACATACTGCGTTTTATATATGTACAAAATGGGACGTAAGAGAAGAGCAGCCACTCAGAGTGACAGCTTTTGTGAAGTAATACAAGAGCCATCACTTGTAGTGGCGGCTTTCCTTAAACGTGGTTAATTCTAACAGTATTTTAGAAATTACTCCCTCCGTTCCTAAAAATACTTCCCACTTTCCTTTTTGGGCTGTTCCCAAAAATACTTCCCACTTTCCCATTTTGGACAATTTGTGTGACTCACATTCATTTTACCTTTTTCTTATACAACCACAACCATACATTTCCACTTTATTCCACTCTCTTAATAAGCGTGCCAAGTCAAACCGGGAAGAATTTTTAGGAACAGAGGTAGTATTCTATAATTTACACTACAAGAATTTCGGAATTTAGTGACGGAAATTCCGTCACTAAATCTGGCGTAGGTCAACTTAGTGACGGATATTTGTGGCCAACATTCTGCCACTAAAATCTTGACATTAAAAGGGTCGTTTGTGGCAGAAAAAGCTTTCTGTCTCAAATTAATGGCGGAACTTAGTGACAAACATATTTGCCACTATATTTAGTGACAAATATTCTGCCACCACATTCCATCACTAAATAATTTGTAATTTCAAAAAAATTAGTTAAATACCATAATAATTTTAAAAAATTGTAGAAAACATTCCAAAATGAATCTAAATAATCAAATCATAAAAGTCAAAACTAAGATTTCAATATTGATAAAATACCAATACCAAATAATTCATCAACGAATTAAACAACTTGGTAATAAAACAGCATATTAAAAATTCATGTGGAAGCTTTCCAAAATCTCAAATACACATCAACTACATTTAAATATACAATCACATATCCAAGTATACATATCTAAAACTATACACATCCAAATAGTTCTACATGAACTAGCTTAGTTATCCTTGATTCCTTGTGTCAACTTTAGCCTGATGTATCTTTTAGTAGTTGAATGTGCTGATTCAAGCTATCTGCTACAAGTTATGAAAAATCTCTGCAAAGACAAGAAACTTCATGAGTAAACTAGAAACAAAATTGAATATGAAAAATAAATACGTAGTAAATAAAAAACAGAAAATCGAAGTTCATATAAAAGAGCACTGGGTAGATCGCCAAAAAACTGATTTTTTCAACGAGAAATTTAGCAAATTTACCACGAATGGCAATCCGCCACTAATTTCCTTAAAAGATTCCTGGCAAACTCAAATCCGCCACTAAATTCCGTCATAAAACCCGGCTTTCTTGTAGTGAATTATTTAATTAGCATTGTTCTGGAAAAAACTCGGTGAATTGGGTAAAGTTAGTGTAGATGATCATTTTAGCTATTTTTCATATGAATATAGTAGTTTATTTATTTTATAAATAAAATACTTCACACTACGTATATAAAATAATTTTTTTCATAATTCATCATCAGATTCATCCGATTCTGCTGCTTCAGTTAGAATTCAGGGGCAGAGTCACTGACTCTAGATCCCGGCTCCATCTCTAGCTAGAATTTCATCAATTTCAGAAGATTCAATCTATTCAACTAATTTCAACATTAATTACCACACAGATGTAGGTTTTATTAGGTGGACTCACCCCATCCCGTAGCCCGAATGTGTAATTAGATGTTGGCTCATGATCCGTAGTGCTCCGCCGTAATCTAATTAGCCAGTACCAGAGGCGGATTTATACTATAATCAGGGTAAGTAGGCATCAAAATGATTCAAGGTGTATCGTCGTCAGTACCTGGGAATCTGGAAGCGATGGTGAAAGAGCAAGGTCCTCAAACGGACAAAATCTCTCTCGTTCCGCCATCGCCTAAGAGAAACGAATTTCTGCACCCACTATCTCGCTGAACTTGGGCTTCGAACAGTAACGACAGAAACCATTGATCTTGACCAACTCCCCCAAAAAAGCCAAGATAGCATATGTAGAGGATAAAAATGGGGCATACTTCTTTCGAGATGCAGGTTGAAGGCCCTCCAACATTCGCGGACTCCCTCCGCGGCAGTTGAAACGAGACAACGCTCTATATCTCCGGATCTCTCTAGAAACCCTACGGATATCATCGCAAAGGACCCTGGCTGTATTAATAAGTACTACCTCCGTTCTCATTTTAACTTCCAAATGGGTTTGGCACAAAGTTTAAGATAGTGGACATTGTGTGGTGGAGAGTTGTGCAGATGAGAGAGAAATGTGTAACAAATGTTGTGAATCACAAATTCTTTACCAAAAAGGGAAAGTGGAAGTTTTAATTGGAATGGACGAAAAAAGAAAGTTGGAAGTTTATTTAGGAACGGAGGGAGTATTATGTTGGAACAGACTGTTCTCTGGGCCTTTTTGGACGGAAGTTAGTGGCCCACAGCCTATGTCACCACATGAGCTTTTGATTCCATTTTTAATTTAAACTTTCAACCTTTCCATTTTGTAACTCTTCAATTTTAAATCTTTCTATATACAAAACCAAGTGGGAAGCCGGTCACTTTTCCCGCCCAAACTTTGTGCTCTCAACGGGGTCCACTTCATTAGAGTGAATTTATTTTACTTTAACTTTTGTTTAAATGAAAGATTCTCTCCAATATTGATCTATGCAGCGGATCAGCAGGTCTGGGGTCCACTTCATTTATTGAATTTTGATTGCTTGGACTATTGCTTGAACCAATGAAAGATTCGGCATTTGCAGTGAAGATTTTGTTGGGTCCGATGTATTGGTCAAACGAATCAGTTTAGAGGTTGAGCATTTAATGAAGTGGTTGGGGGTTGAGCATTTAATGTGGTAGTTGGGTGTTCAAACTTATGCATATCATTTGCCTATAAAAGCTGACATCGGATGTTTTCAAACCAACACTCCCTTCACTCCCTTCTTTCACTCCCTTCACTCAACATGGCAACAAACACCAACGAAATTCCCAGAACATTGTACTCGATGATAAGGGACGTTGATCATACCAGATCAACATGGGCCCTCAAAGTTCGAGTTGTGACGGCCGTTGAAATGTCTACCCAAACTAAAGGAGGTCAAAGAATGGAGGTTATTTTCCATGATGAGGAGGTAAACTATGCTTTTGCGTTTTTTCCATTTACTTTCGTTGACATCGGATTTTATATTCATAAGCTTTTTGATGGCTAATGTAGGGTGAAAAGATACATGCATTGATTAATAGACCCCTTATGCACATGTATAAATCGAGGTTGCTGGAAAACCAATGCTTCAGGATAAAAAACTTTTTGGTGCTCGACAATTACTATACGTACAAAACTACCTCGCACCCATATATTCTGGAATTTATTAAAAAAAACCACAGTTTTCGACCACCCTTCAGAAAACTTTCCGAATTTCATGTATGATTTTCATCAGTTCGACATGCTGCAGAGCCTAAGGGTTGTGAACGATAAACTGTTGATAGGTACTATTTTAAATATAATTTTTTTAGAGTGGCTGTTGGTACAATTATATTACGAAATGTATAATAAACAAATGTATAACTTGACGTTATCCTATGTCAGATGTAATTGGAAAAATTGTTGGAAAAACACCTCCACAGACGCATGTGATAAATGGCAAGCCAGAGCGTCTCATAGAACTGACTTTGGAGGATCCCGAGTTAGTAAAAGTGCTTAACTCATTAATTTTAACTTATGGCTTTAGTTTTCAAAAGGATTTAACCTAATGGTCTTATATAGGGGTAACCGTATCCGAGGCACGCTATGGACCAACTACTGCAAAGAATTCTGTGACTTTTACGCAGAGCACAAGGATGATACCATTTACATAATACTTCAGATGTGCAGATCAAAGCGTTACCAAGGTAGTCTATTTAATAAGAAGATTTTAATAAGTCTATGAAAACATATGTAATGCTTATGTATTTTTTAATGGCAACTCAGGATCTGTGTTAATGTCTACTTCCTACGACATATCTAAGTTGATCACGAATGGAACGTCAACAGAGTTTGAGGACTTCAAGGCACAGTATGCACCAGATGAACACCATGTTAGATAAACT